GGACATTCTATCTTTTGAAGACAGATGGAGAATTAAAAAATTCTTATCATCTAGTAACAGTATGCTTTCCCTAAAACACTGAGCTGAATACCCCCTGCCATGAAATACCTCTACAAAATTGGGAGGTGAACAAGGACAAGTGTTTCTAGTGTGGCCTCTTTGTATTTGCACTTTGGCAGTCGTTGCTCCTGAGTACTAAGCATTGGAATCTTCCTAAGAAACCAGGTCTTTTTTGTGATAGGACTCCTACAGCTATCAGACATCTTTTAACCACAAAGACACAAATACCTCAAATGTACAGTATCTCTGTTGCTTTCCTCATGACTTCTTTCCCAAATCCTTCTTCCCATGGGAACTGTTTTTCATTTTATTTGACTGGAGTGCAAACGAGCAACAAATTTCTTTTGCTAGAAGAACAATGAAGAAATATATCTATTGAACTTAGAACTGCCTGGTTGCTTTTTGGTAGGAAGGCTTATTTCTTGCCCTGCTTACTAGTAGAAGAGTCTCTTCACTGCATGGTTTATCTTTGGCAGAGTGTAAATCATAATCTCAGTGGCCCTGATTCTTCTCCAGTCTTATCCTTGTGAAGTAGTTGCCTAATCTCAGGCACCCTCTAGGCTGTGCTGCTTTGATAGCTGGATCTAAGCAACACAGAAGTAATGCTACAGTCTTAGGGGATTTGTTGGATCACTTTAATCTTACACTTGGGCTCCAGTACTTCCTTGTAGTGATGATATTACCAGATAATCGGTGATTAACCTAACTCAGTAGGACAAGCCAATACAAGCAAAGGGAATAGTTGTTCTTGTAAATTCCAGGTTTATACAGATGAAGAATTACTTCAGGTGGATGGTGTATAGGGTTGTTTTCTTCTATAAAGATCAGAGAAGTTTCTGCCAAATATATTAATGTTAGATCACATTTTATTATTATTTCATGTAAAGAAAGTAAATAATACAGAGTCTCCTTGTCAAAGAATAACAGAAGGTGGAAGACACTTCTGATGGTAATCTAGTCCAAACCTTCTGCTCATGTAGAGCTATCTAGAGCAGGTTGCCCAGAACCATGTCGAGGTGGCTTTTTAGTATCTCCAAGGTTGGAGACCCCACAACCTCACTGGACAACTGTCATCCTCACAATAAAAAAGCATTTCCTGATGTTCCAGAGGGAATCTTCTGTGTTTCAGCTTGTGCCCATCTTTTGCTAGTCCCTGGGCACCACTGAAAAGAGACTGGCTTCATCCTCTTTCTACCCTCCTTTCAGGTATTTCTATACATGGATAAGACCCACTTGAACCTTCTCTTCTCCAGGCTGAAGAGTCCCAGGTCTCTCAGCCTTTCCTTATATGCAAGATGCTCCAGTCCCGAATCATCTTAGTGGCTGTTCACTGGACTGTCTCCAGTAGCACCATAGAATCACAGAATCATAGAATCCTAGGGGTTGGAAGGGACCTCGAAAGATCATCTAGTCCAACCCCCCCTGCCAGAGCAGGGTCACCTAGAGTACATCACATAGGAACACAGCCAGGTGGGTTTTGAATGTCTTCAGTGAAGGAGATTGCACAACCTCCCTGGGCAGCCTGTTCCAGTGCTCTGTCACTCTCACAGTAAAAAAAAATTTTCGGATATTCACCTTGAACCTCCTATGCTCCAATTTGCACCCATTACCCCTTGTCCTATCACTGGTCATCACCGAGAAAAGCCTAACTCCGTCCCCCTGACACTCACCCCTTACATATTTGTAAACATTGATGAGGTCACCCCTCAGTCTCCTTTTCTCCAAGCTAAAGGACCCAGCTCCCTCAGCCTTTCCTCATAAGGGAGATGTTCCACTCCCTTAATCATCTTTGTGGCTCTGTGGACTCTTTCAAGCAGTTCCCTGTCCTTTTTGAACTGAGGGGCCCAGAACTGGACACAATACTCCAGATGTGGCCTCACCAAGACAGAATAGAGGGGGAGGAGAACCTCTCTTGACCTACTAACCACAGCCTTTCTAATGCACCCCAGGATGCTATTGGCCTTCTTGGCCACAAGGGCACATTGCTGGCTCATGGTCATCCTCCTGTCTACGAGGACCCCCAGGTCTCTTTCACCTACACTACTCTCCAGCAGTTCAGCCCCCAACCTGTACTGGGACTCTCTTCTGCTGGGGAGCCCAGGACAGGACACAGCACACCAGATGTGGCCTCACCAGAGCTGAGGAGGGATCACCTTTCTCGATCTGTGCCAACAGTCCTGAGTACAGTCCAGAATAACGTTAGTCCTTTTTGGCCCAAGAGTACTTTGCTGACTGATGGTCCACTTGATGTCCACCAAGATCCCCAGATTCTTTTCTGCAATACTGCTTTGCAGCTGGTCAGCCCCCAGAATGTACTGATGCATGGGGTTGTTTCTCCCCAAATGCAGGACTTTGCACATCCTAGGGTTGCTGTCAGCCCATCACTCCAGCCTTGCCCCTCTGGATGACAGCACAACCCTCTGGTGTATCAGCCATTCCTCCCAGTTTTGCATCACCAGTAGACATGCTGAGGGTACACTTTGCTCAGACAATTAATGATGTTGAACAGAATTATTATTACTGAACTCTGAATCTAGACTTAATATTGAGGTCTGCCTACAGGCCAAGCAAGATTCAAACAAGTTGTTACAAAAATGTTTTGCTGCACTTGGCTGTTTAACTTCCACCTCTGACATCTGATGTGTCAGTTTTCAGATTAGTGGATCTTCATCTTGAGTTGGATAAAAAATACTCAGCTGATGCCAAAGTATTCTGCATTGACTTTGGGACTCTGGATTGCTGGAAACCCTGGAGATAATTTGTTTTGGGCATCTAATGGCTTATATGAAATCCCAGAACTTTCTTGGTTTAATATTACTATTATACTTTAAGATAGAGAACTTTGTTCCACTTCTAACCACCTGCAGTAGCTGTGACTTCAGCTTCACCATCACATACAAAAAGAAAAGAATCTCATCTGTCTTGCAGAAGCTACATTTATGGAGGATTGCTTCAGTATCTTTGATATTATGTGAGATAAGGTCTTTGTTTCAATTACTATGTCAAAAAAGTCTAGATTTCTGTATACCTGTATACTTGTTAATGTGTACAATAAAGGCCCTCTCAGGTATGTTCCTTTTTTGGGGGGAATGAAAACTTGCTTTAAAAAATACCAAAAGAAATCTGTTTTTCTTTTTGTTAGTGTGTTATTTGTCTTGTTTGTCTGAAAAGAGGGCCATGTATCAAAGCTGAGACACCTTTTGTATTTAATGAAAGATGGCCCAAATGATTAATCCTTTAAACCGCACAGCATATTTTCACAGCCTCTATCTGCTTTCTGCACTGCTTCAACATCTCATGCCAAGAAAGTCACAATCAAGTCAGGAACCGGGAGCATGGGGAAGCCTCATTTCCCTTCTTACACCTTTGCTATTTTCTGTGAAGGAGAGGAAGAGAGGTAGTTTGAAAGATTTTAAAATCATAGGCTGAAGATACCTGATGTGTGGAGATGGTACAGAAAACTAGCATGAAAGGAGGAAAGTCAGTATGATAAGTCTCTTAACCGTTACTTGTGTTGGGGGAGACTAAGCACTATGTAAGTGTTCCTGAGGAATCCTACAAAAATTCTTTTTCCATTGCAGATCCACAAGAGGAAAGTGAGTATCAACAAAGAGATCATGGCTTTGCGGGATCTCAAGATTTCTGTTATTGATGAAATCAAGGGTTTAGTGCAAGAATTGAAATCCATTCAAGCAGCCTTGGATTTATCAGAACGTCTCCCTCTCCCACCGATCCCTCTGTTACACCCAGGTGAGGTTCCTGAAAAAAAATTTGAGTATGACAGAGACATTCTCCTGAAGTTCCAAGAGGAGCAGGAGGCCAAGGCAAAGCTCCAGAAAGAGCTGCAAGAGTCTTCCTCATCTAGTGCATCCAGGCATGGGTTTCTTCAAGCTCCTTCTGTTAAAGACACTGATCCCATGGCACAGGCTGCAGATGCATGCCCGATAACAACAGCATCATCTGTCACAGACCAGCAAAAAGTTTTTGAGGTTGAGAAGGCAGAGCCAACAGAAATAGAACTGGAAATTTTAAAGAAGGAGAAGATTAAAAATCTGTACTTGCAGGACACCTTGATTAAAAAGGTAGGAAATCAAAAGTTCTTTTGTCAGATTGGACAATAAAACCAAAACCCCTTCTGGCTCAGGAATGCAGCCACTTTTGCCTTTCTGAAGTTCAGGGAAGTGGTATCTGGTGCAAATTTACAGTACAAATCAGTATAATTCCCTAATGGTGATGTGTGCGCTCACTACTATAACTTGGAAAACAGATCTTGCTTTTCTTGATTGTTCTATGAAACTATGAGCATAGTGGCTAAAAAAGGCAAGTAAAATGTTAGAAATTACTTGAACAGTGGTGAAGAAGAAAAAAGGAACATCACTATAACTTTGTAGATTCATGTTGCTCTCAGCTCTTAAATAACTGCAGTCCCAATCCTTTTGTCTCACAAATGATTTCGTAGAATTAGAAAGGTACAAAAAAAGAGTAACCAAAAGGCTTAGTCATGGGAAAGCTTCTTTAGAAGGCAGGTCTAAATGGATAAAGCATCTTTGGCCTGGAAAAGGGGCAACTGAAATGGTTGCAGCAAAGGTGATAAAATCATGAACAGCATAAAAAAGGAGAGTGTATATCATCTCTTAAAAGAGGAAGAGATTTCAAATTATATGGTAATGAAGAAAGCTTGAAATAAGCAAATGGAAGTAGTTTTTCTATCCAGCAATAACTAAGCTTTGGAACTAAGCGTTAGGATGTGAGGGAAACTACAATTTTAATGAAGTCTGGAAGAAAAGTCTATTTAAAGCTGTTGAGCCCAAACATGCTGCTTTAAGCTCAGGATGTCCCTAAGCCAGAGTTTAGGAGGACATGGGGAGGAGCAGAGAGGTGTACCACTGTTCCCTTGGTTGCTGTTTCTTACTGTCTATAACTTCTGCTAATGGCCATTAACACTTGGTGTGCCTCAACAGAGACACTCCCGTGTTCATGTGTGTAAAGGTTTTGAGAGAATATCCAAATGCTGTGACCATCATATATATATGTTAATGTTGGCTAGTTGCTAGTTAATGTTGGCTAATGTTGCTAGTACTGATTTAACTGTAAATGTCTAAGGGAAGAACTGGCAGGCATTCTGAAAGAAGTTTGTCAAGGCAGAAGACATTGATTGCTACATCTCAGATGGTAACATGAACTACTTCAGACTACTATAAAATATTTTCTGAAGTGTAAGATGCTTCTGGGGAACAGTGGGATGCAGTAAAATATTCCTGTAAAGCCCTGGTGAGTCTTTTACTACTGCGCTGAGAACAAACACATTTGGCATTAACTCTGTATTTCTAAATGCTTCAGTTATCCATAGTAAACACCATGGGCAAGTTGTTGATTTGGCAGAGAGAATTTCCCCCTTCTGCTCCTTTCTCCAGCTTTACATTTTTAGCTTTACTCCTAATATTTTCCCTGTTCTTCACCTGACTCTGATATGCTCCAGATCAATGCACTGATGATCAACTTTGATGCTGAACTTCGTGTTCTGCGACACAAGAAACTGAAGCTGGATGTGTTGATGAAAACCGCTGACCTGCGCTACATCACGTGCTATGAAGAGCTTCTTATCCTGAAGAAACTTGAGAAACATGAGAAACTTCTCCAGGAGCGTGTTAGCAACCTCATCAGGGAGCAGGAAGCTATGGAAGTAAGTATGCCACACGTCTCTGGATTTAGCATTACCATTAATGTTTGAAACAAAAGCAAGCTATAAAGTAAATGGTGGCATCTCTTTGCTTCTTATCACTGATCTAGTGCTAAATTTTGGAAAATAAGAAACTCCTGATGAAAACAGGCAACTCCTAGGATGGTTGCTTTTAGATTCCAATAGTTAGTATTCTCATAGTCTGAACAGCTGTACTTTAGTAGGTAGTTAATGATGTGGAATCAGTGACAAATCATATACTTACATTTAAGAACATATTTCTAGGTTTTGCTTGATTGGAGCACAGGTTTTAAAGAGAGAAAGCCAAGTTTTGTATTTCCACATCTTCACAGATATAGCCTATATACACACATGTGAGTTGTACATTTTAACTGAAGTAAGCTTTTTTTTTTTGTTTAGTTAAAACTGAAAAGCTACCTTGCACAGATGGAGGATAGAAAGAGTGAGATTGTAAAGCTCCAGGAATGTGAGAAAGCTCTTTATGCCACTTTCCAAGCATTCCTTGAAGAAAACAATGAGTTTGCTGATTTTCTGACCAAGGTTCTGGAGAAGAAAATGGAAAACAAAGATGTTGAAAGAGAAGCAGGTTATTTTTGTTTTATGGATTTGTTACAAATACTTCCATGTGGTCAAGTAAATGTCTTTTGGTCTAGCTGGAGCCCTGGATACATGCAGCACTGGGCTCAGTGCAAATAACATAGGTCAGGCTTACCTGGATTTATGTACCAACTCGTGTTCTGTGGCAGCCATTTTGAATTATAACAGTGGTATAAATCATTTTCTAACATGACTACATTTGGTCTGGTGACAGCTCCTGCAATTTACTTCCTGTAAGTCAATACCAAGGATAGATAATTGGTATGAAGAAGGGGTAGAGCTTTAAATAAGTACTTCCTATGCTGCACCAATGTGAGCTATGGATAAATTATTAGCCTGCCACATTCATGACATTCTTCTTTAATCCACTGACTAATGAGAGATCATAGAGCTAATCTGCAATCACCTATTAGTCACAGGACTAAACATATTAGAAAAGGATTTCATTTATCTTAGTGACTCACTTTTAACCTGCTAAGGCTACACAGTCTTAGCAAGCTAAAGTACTGGTGCTTTCTCTCTTTGGCTTCTGATTTCAAGTGGGGCATGAACAATAAAAAGCACAGACAACAGTGATGCTTTTGTGACAGTTTCGTGCCTCTGTATTTTTCTTGGTTGATTACACTTGGTAGTAAAATGGTAAACCCATAAGGTTTAAATTCCTAGCACATACAAAGGGAGGAAACATTACTGAAGGAAGTTCTGAAAATGTGCCTGTATCTGTGCCTTTGGCACTACTAGATGATATCTCCCCTTTTTCTCCCCTCCCCCCTTTTTGTGTGTGTGTGTGTGTGAGAAATTATCTGATCAATACAACAGGCACAAGGTGCCTGAATCCACATGTTACCAGGATGATCCTTCATGGATTATCATGATTGTGTTCACCAGCACATTGGCATACTGCACAGCTAGTGGGTCTGGGGATGTTCTGCAAGCCAGCAGTACTGTCCTTTTTTAGCAGATGAAGAAGATGAGAACGAAGAGGAGAAGAATGAAGAGTCCAGCCTGGGGATTGATGAAGAAAATTCTGAATCAGAAGATGAAGACTTTGATGACTCTGTTTGCCCAGAAAGTACGTAAGCCATCATTTCCTTGGGTTGACTACTTTGTTTACTTGAAATACTGTGTGTTGAAAAAGAAAACACAGCATTTATCATTATTCACTACGGCCCAAAGGTGCGTACCTCTCCTGAGCACAGCATTTCTCCCCAGGAAATCTCAACAAAGATAATTAAACCACTGGTAGTATAAAGGTACCCTAATTAAAAAGTTTGGGAAAGGAAAACTTAGCTCTGCACTAAGAATTAATAATTTTGTGTAAAAACTAATTCGCCATTTCACGCTGGTTCCATGCTGTTAAATTAAGCTCTTTGTTACCACCTCGTGGATTTATGCAGCAATTGCCTGTTGCTAGGCTGTTCTCTTAGAGGTATCTGAAAAGTTAGGAGCTTTACTTTGCAAAATCCTCTTCATTCATTCGTTCAACAAAGGCAAGCAACTCCTTCCCCACCCCCCCTTTTCTTTTGTATGAGTTTAACTAGTTTAGGGTATTGGTTTTTAAAAAAATATTTGAGTGATATGTCAATGACCACATAACAACACTGCTTTATTTTCAGTTAGAACTAACCAACGAATTACTTTATCATATTTTTATATAGAATTTTAACATCTTTTTCACAAATTGAATTTTTTATTCCCTTCTCATCCATTTCCTATTTCAATGAAATTTTGGGAAGGAATGAAATTTTTACTTTTGATTAAAAAATCCAAATTACTACTTTAGTAGGGAAATTACATGTTGTAGTTTCTTCTTAACATTTGTCTCTTTGTGTGTGATTTGCTTTGCCTTTATTGGACTCCTTTTTTATGATGCCTGCTGATTTGGGCATAGTTATCCATTTGATTAGTATGACTGACATTAGATACTGTCAGATTTTCCTTAACCATGAAACAAATGGAGCAGGTTCAATGAACCACAGCTTTGTTTACAGATAGAGCTGTAAGTAATCCCTACAGCAACCTCAATGTTTGTAGTGAAGGGTGCTATGGAGAAACAACTATATGTTCACATAATTGAAGATTATATGGTAACGTAGTAATTTCTGGGACTGCATTACTTAGATAAGCTAACTTCTGAGCACTTGGCTTTAATATTGGCTTTCATGCATTTAGTCTTACTTCTGGAAACAAACTGTCTTGACTGAATGTAAGGAGTGAAAAATCCATCCAAGATACTCACCCCTTCATGGAGGGATGGGGCCCATGTGGTTTATGTTTGAGGAAGCTCTAGGGAATTAAGAGCATGGTCTTACTATGGGGAATGCTGGGCAATGTGCGCAGTAGGAGCAGCTACCAGCTCAAGCCTGTGACTGTAGTAGTCATAATGGAACTATGCTGTTCTCTGACTCTTTTTGTCTCAGACTGCGATGAGGCTCTCTACCAAAACACCATCCAGCTCCGGCAGAAGCGGTTAGACATTGAGAAAGCTTTAACAGAGCAGAAGGAAGCTGCTGCTAGCCTCAGAAAGAAGTACAATGCCTTGGTCGAAAAGGTATTGTAGTGTTTTCTTCTCAGCCAGCATTGGCTGGCTCCGTGACTGTTAAAATGTGCTGGTAATTTTGGCTAAAATTTAAAACCAAAATCCTAACCCTTTGAGAGGCCTCAGTTTGGGTAGCATCAAGGCAGGAGGCAGCTCAACATGGGTCACCTGTCCTCCTGGAAAGGTAAGTCAAGTTGGTCTGACTTTAGTTGCTATGGAGCTGGATCCAGATTTTAGATCCAGTTCCTTCCCAATTGTCTGACCATCATGCAGCAACAGAAAATGGATTCTCTGGTTCAGATGCAACATTTGGTGTAGCCTGGTCTGTCCTCTGTGCATATGTATGGGGATGGAGAGACTAAAGAATCCTTATCTTAAGACAAGTGCAGGTTAAAATAAATACACAAAAATGCTATTTTTCCATTTATTTATCTTGCTTTTACTTATTTTCTTTTGCTCTTTGTCATAGTAATCACTGAATAAACTCTCTTGGTGCAAATTTTCCTTTTAGCTTTTTTTGAGCTCCTGCATTCATCAAGGCATTTGATTTATATTAATTCAAAAATATGTTAACTTGAAGGGTTATCCAGGATAGAGAGAGAGTTCTGCCAGAATATCATTATGCACGGCTTGCACATTATTGTGTCTCAAAAATGTTCCATCAAATATACTTAACTTACAATATTTTTTGTTTAGTTTTTAAAGGCCTTCTCAAGTGCCAGCTACCACATACTCACCCTGAGGTCTGACATTTGAGTCTGAATTGTTTCTTGCTCATGCAGAATCAATAAGCATTTCCAGGCATAACACAATGAAAATTATCTTGCAGGCTCTGTAGATCTACAAGTGTTTCAGATACTGAACAAAGCAGCTGTCTCTTGATTCATACAGGGCTTCTCTACTAAGGAGATGTTTAGGAGTGTGCATGTGTACAGGGGTATTCAGGGTAGAATATTGCTTAAATATGTAGGTAAGTCTTGTGTTTGCCTATGAAACTCATCTGTTTACATAATATGTAAAAAAAACCAAACCACCACCAACAAAAAAACACACAAAAAAAGAGCATTTATTTCCCTTTGGAACAGAAACTTTAACACAGAACATTGCTGTCTTATGCTTCTGAGTACTACAGGATTTTTGTTTGTCCACAATTTGTCTTCTGCAGGCAAAAGAAGTGGAAACCAGTCTGGGCACTGCAGAGACTGAACTGGAGACCTTTCAGTGGGAAAAGCAGCAGAGAATGAATGACCTACATGTAGTTGTGCCTTTGAAACTCCATCAGGTAATCCAAGATGTGTATCTGCAGATGCAGAATGGCCTGTGTACAATGGTGCTGCTGTTCTTTGGGACCTTTAGTTCCTGATTGACCATACTCTCCTGGGAGTGAACTGCTATAAATTGAATTTTATGCTGCTATTTCCTCTATATTTTTTTTCCTTCTAACAGAAAAGTTGCAAGCACAGGCAAATCAGTACATTGCTGAAATGTGCATAGCTCCCAAACTATTGAAACTAATAGGAGTTTTGGCTGATTCAAGATTGCTGGATTGGATGCAATGCATTTAGCTACACAGCTGTTAGCACAGGGATGATAAGTAGCAAAGGAAGAGGAGAACTCAAGACAATACAATAATTTGTTTGGTCTTTTCCTCAGACTGAGAAGATAGGCCTCTGCCTGTTTTGGATTATGTGTCTCTGAGGCAAGCTCAGTTCTCTCCATTTGTTCTATCTCCCTTCATTAACAGGTTGGCAATAAAGAGAAGAGTTTTAAGACTTGACTATGCAGTCCTGCAGCTTGCAGATCATCATTCAGAAGTAGAGTTGACAGGGAGTCCCTTATTCCCGCTTTCTTCCGGGGTATAAAAGGGTAGACAGCTTTACATGCAGGCATCACAGCACTAAATAGTCTTCAAGCTTTGCTGACTGGTAGTGATTTCCTGGCCCAAAACACCAGATTTGTGCCCACACTTGCTATTACCTCACTGTTTAGTTCTCTAATGCTCACACATTTGTTATCCAGAGAGATCACCAGGTGATAAAATCAGCCTGGCTGTTTATTGCAGGTGGAGTACTTGGTTGATGGGGAGATGCCCAGTAACTTCTCCCAGGCTTTGGTATTTACCAACCAGTCCCTGGAGTATCTGCAGAAGAGAATTGTGGACCTACATAATGAAAAGAATTTGCAAAGAGACATCTATAAGAAGGCCCAGGAGCAGCATAAGCAGCTTATCCAGGACAAAAAGGAGATGGAGAGGGAGATTCGACGTGAGTAACAGAGACTCTGAACAACACAACATACTAATACATGTTCTGTTTCCCTCACTGGGTGTGGGTAGCTCTTCAGATATCTGTCTTTACACTCACACAGATGTCACAGCTGGTTACTGCAGAAAATAAAACAGAGACCAGGTGGACTGTTTTGATGAAATACTGGTAGTTCTTTAGCACTGCAGAGTCATTAGGCTTTGTGTGAAATAATCTGGGAACTTAGTATAAGGAGACTTGACTGAGATGAGACACTGGAAGTCAGGACACAATTGCTATTTCTGGCTGTAAACCAGAATGTTACCAAAAAATACTTTCCCCAAAGCTACATAACTTTTTCAGCAATTTCATTCTCTGTGTAACATAAGAAGAGTGAAACAAGGACCAACCCCAAGATGTGTCTAGCACCACCAAACCTGTGGAGGCCCTGTACAGCCTTTGGTGTGGGAGTGGCTCACTAGGGCTGGCCTAGAGTGTGGCTTAGTGATCACACAGACATGATCATGGGCAAGGACAAACAGCAATACTCACTTGTGAGCTGTGGGGACCTGTGAGAATTACTTATTACAGAGCAAATACCAAATAGAGCTCAAACAGAAAGCTGGGGGTAAGGCAGAAATCATTCTTAACCAATAAAAAGACAGTGCTGCCATTTGTGCCATGCCCCTTGTGTTAGGACTGGAAGAGCAATGCAATTATCTGATGATGAAGAAGTTTGGCCGGCTGGTTGATTTTGAAGCAGTTCAAGCACGCTCTGCTAATATACATGTGGCAGAGTTGGAAGTGCAAATAATGGAGAAAGAGTATGAACACTCCCTGGAGCTCAAAGAGTGGGAGGTAAGGAGCTGGAAGAGGTGGAGGGCGTCTGTGTTGTGATGATCCGTTAAGGCTTCATTTGTCTGAGGCTGAATAGCTGCACCAGAATCTTCTGTCAATATGGTGTTTGGGTTTTTTTTCACTTGTCATTAATCAATCATATCCAACTCCCATTTCCCATCATCATTCCTACCTCTGCTCCTGTTGCTACAGCACATCCTATTTTCTCACAAGAGTCAGTTAACAACCCATTTGTTTTACTTTTCTCAAATGCATTCTTCTGCTTCAGTCCCTATATGAAGTTCTTCCACACAACTTTCCTTTAGCTTTTGGCTGGCATTCAGCACCAACTGCCACCTCCCACCACCTTTAGTGAACTGAGTACAGGGCAGCCCTGTCTCATGCCTAGGATGCCAGTCTGTGCAGTCTGGAAAGTGCATGTCTCTGTCTGGGGAGAGCTAAGGCTCAGCTGCTGTGGTGCAAGTAGAGAACACTCTGATGCTGCCCTTGGAAGATGCTGTCCTTGGCTCTCCTTTTAAACGTATGAAGAGAGAAAAAATAGAGAACAGGAGAAATGTCTCTTTGAGCAAGTATGGTGCCTCTTATTTTAAATTGACTTAAGATTTTATTTCTTTTACTTCTCTGAGCAGTAAAACATCAGTGCCTTTACACATATACCTAATAGGTTTTTGGATTTCTACTAATTCCTGTGCATGTCAACTGGCAACACGTTCTGGGCTTACCCTTGCTGGTATTAGCCAGTACCTGGGGTATTAGCTGCTCCTTAGGGAAGTGAGTCTGGTGTCCTTCAGCTCAGCACACATCTATGTCTGGCTCAAGACTTTTCTAACTGATGTCAGCAAGGACATAAGTAGGTTTGAACTGTCCTGACCACTCCTTGCATGTCTGTGGGGCATGACACGTGGCCAGGAAAGTAGTGTGTTCAAGCAGATTTGCAGTTCCTTGCTGTCTTGGTTGTCCTGTGTTTGTAGCTAACAAACAATTAAAACAAAGAATCCCTGTCCTCCCTCCAGGTTTGGATAGGAGAGCCAGATCTCAGTGGAAAATCATAGCCCCAGCCTTCTGTTCCTCTTCTATCCTGGCTTGAGGCAGGTGTAGGAACCAGCTTAATGCAGCACAGATGCAGAAGTACTATGTACCTAATGGTTTTGTCTTTCCCGCACTTCCACCTAACTGCTTTACCTAGATATTTCGGCATTAGCAATATTACAAAATAAATAATAAGAATAAAAAGATAGACTGCACTAAACGTCCTGTGGGATCAGGTGGTGTATGCAGGATCAGTCTGCTTACTTCTCTTCTGTGATGCTTACATTGTACCTAGCACCTCTTCCCCACTTCATGCTTTTTGTTTTCTCATCCTAGCACAACCTTTTATGTCTTTCTAGGCAAGAATCTCAGACCTGCAGCAGCAGCTGAGGAAACTGACAAAGGAAAACACCAGCATGGTGCAGCAAAAACCCGCTTCTGCCTTGAAAAGCAGCAACTTGAAACTAAGCTGGATTCACTAAAGAATTATCTGGTGAGCCCTTTAGCCACTGTACTGCATGCAGGGTTGGACCTGTCAGGCAAAGGTGAGGGATTATCTGGCCTTCCTCAGCAGCTCCCTGATCTCAGCTCCTGCTCTGCAGTCAGCAGTTGGGGCTGACACTGCCTTGTGGCACAGGCTGAAAGGCTGCTCCTGGTCTTATAGAAAGGGAGATGAATGAGCTGATCCTGAAGTGGGCCATACCTTAGCTTCTCAGCAGGTTTCTTAATTAGCTGTTTTCTAATACTGAAACAAACTCATTTCTGATTAGAAAATGTCTTGCAGCAAGTCAAAATTATTCCTTTGTTACATGGAAACAGTCCCATGAATTAAAGTATTTGCTCTGTGTTAGGGAATAAGGTAGCCATCTGTGATAGTCTGGATCAGTGGTTCCTCATTATGACTTCCCAGGAGTTCTGACTGAGGAGTGGAGAAGCCATGAATTTGTCCTGCCTCTTGGAAAGCTTCACTTTCCCACTTGAAATAAATTTCCACCATTCACTCTCCCATGTTTTATAGGAGTTACTCTTTCCTCTCCTTACAGGGACTAGAATTGCAGGGCATCCGAAGTGCTGACATCAAAGAGAAGGCCAGGCTGACCTCGCGGCTCAATGATGCAGCTTGTGACACAGCCTTCCTAAGAGAAGAAATCAGTCTTCTAAGCAGAAAAGATACGTCCTTAAGAGAAGAACTCATGCTCCTTAGCAGAAAAGGTGGGTGCCTCTTTCTACAACCTTCATTACCACAGGACTCCAAGACACCAACTGAATCACTCCCAGCTTTTACACCAGAAACGGTAACTAGCAGCCCAGTTTCCCCTTAAAAATAGATATGATTAACTGTGGCAGGAATAATACCTGGAAGTGTGAAATTAATTGCTTTGGCCATGCAGGAGTTTAGTTGTGAAGGGTTGTACTTTTTCCCTTATCAAAATATGACTGTAGTGATGGATACAGAATAAAAAAGTGCAAATACTGTGAATGCTGTTCTTAAGTCCATTGCAGTGTGTGTACATATGTGTACGTCTGGTCTTCAAGTGAGTGGCTTATGAAGGCTGGATATGAGTGTTTCACATGGGCAAATCCAAACCATTACTCAAAAACGGTAGATGTCATCTGCCTTAAGGGTATGTTCTGATATTTTTAAACATCCTAGCAGCCGTGGCAGTTCTCTGCTAACTGAACTAGTTAAGAGTCATTGTAAAAAGAGAAGGGAAGTGCTATTTGTTTGGAGAAAGCCAAGGGGCCTTTCTTCTCAGAGCCTACATTGTTCCATTGGGTATGGAACCAATCAAAAACCTTTCTCACTTGCCTCTACCCTGTAGAAGCGGGAGAACTGAAATGTAGGACTCAGTATTTACCTGGCATGAGGAAGGTATAGCAGATGCAAAGTCAGCCTGTAATTTCACTGGCTTGTACCTGCCTGATTAGAGTCAGAGGCCACCAGTCTCTGTCTGTGTTCAGGTTTTATACTTTTTTTTCCTCTGGCATTTGGTAGGGTGGCAGCACATGATCATTTGCAGTGCTCACCCTGGCTTACTGTGAAAAACGTCCTTCAACCCCAAAGCAGAGGGGTTGTGTTGCACTGTGCTTCTCAGTTTCTGAGAGTCCACTGGGAGGCTTGGCGGTGTGTGATAGTTTTTAATTAAATAGTTTGAACAACCTGCAGCTGCTCTTGCTCCTCTTCCCCACTCCCTGCATTTTGCCACGGGCCGTTGCTCCTCTGTCTGAGGTACACTCGGCCAGGAGCCAACCAGATCTCAGCCAAGCACAAGAACTGCCCCTGCTGGCCCAGCACAACCAGATGACTAGTCCTTGTGCTGCCTGCCTTTTCACAGCAGCCCTACACAGGTGCTGAGCATCCTCGTGTTTCCTTAAGGGAAAATTTTTAAAAAAACAACCACCCTTATCCACAGGCCTGGATGGTGAAAGCTTTTGAAGCTAGAAAATCACAGGATGTGGGGTGCGGGATACGAAACAAATTTCGGGTGTCTGTCTGCCTCCCCCCCTGCCATCACCAAACTCATGCAGCTGTCCTTGGAGATAAATGAACATTTCCTCTAGCTGTGCTCCTTGCTAGAAGCTTTATGTCACTTTACTGGCACAGACAGTGGCTGTCCCTCTTCTCCTGAGTCAAGCATTGAGAAGATTCATGTGGGTAGCTATGTGGAAAATGATAACTGCAGGAAAACATCACCTTTCCCTAGGTGTCCTGCTGGCTGTGTCTGCAAGGAAAAAAAGTAGTAGGTTAATTCTGTGGGAGGATTCAGCATAGAGCCAGGCACAGAAAAGACTAAAGCCTTTATTTTAGCTGTTAAAGCGCGGGTTTGTCTTTACAGATAGGCGGCTGTAGATGGCATGTACGTGAAGGGTTGTTTACTTTGATGAGGCAGAGTGCATAGCTCCAGTTCATTCACAGGGATGTGTTCCTGGGACACACCTTCCCGTGGAGGAGAGGAAAACATCTTTTGACAGCGTTGTCTTTTGTGAAGCCCTCGCTGCAAGAGGGTGCTAGATCTTGGTGGTGGCAGCTCTATTTGGACCCATGTCCTGTGACATCGCTTGTGCTGCTGTTTCAGTCTTGTGCTCTGGTGAACAGCTCCATTCAACATGGATAACAGCCATGGATAGCTGCTGCCTTGTTTCTTGGGCCCTCCTGTGACCTTGCTGAGGATGACTTCTGTCTCCATAGCATTATAAAAGGCACATATACATCTATATACAAGTGCATAAATATATAAATAGGGGTGTTATACAAAAATAAATACCTATTCTCTTTTTCTCTTTAGCATAAGTCTTTGCAAAGGGCCGCTTGGTCCCTAGCTGGTGGGAGAGTGAGTCTCTAAGGGCCTCAGTTGTGGTGGGCTGCTGTTCAGATGTCTTGATAGGTCCTGACCCAAAGATGTGATCACTGGATTCTGGGGGTGGAAATCTCCTCTGGACTGGCAGCAATCTGGTCTTTCCACCTCTTCAACTGGCACTAGGCCTAGGCAGCAAGGGCTTCCTGAAAGGGAGAGGAGCAAGAAACTATTACAACACATACAGAAATGAGAGATGCTGTGGCAGCTTTCCAGTCAACAGTCCACTTTATGAGGATAGGTACTGTGATCAGAGGAAGAAATGCAGTCTGAAAGACCTGACTACATGGGAGTTTGATCCTGTGCTTGGACACAATGAGTTTGATCCCCACTACAGGGGTGGATCGGTGTATCAGGTCCTAGGGAGATGGATTCACATAATTTTTAGGGACCTTGTTGATTTACTGGCAGTCTGGAAAATGCAAAATTAAGGACTAAAGGACAGTATCTCTACAACTGCAAGTGCATATGTGTCCTTCTGGCAACATACAGCTCAAGCTTGCTCTAAAACTGAGTGAGGCAACTTACAGTCCCCAACTTCTAATACAACCTTTTCATGCTGCTGTTCTACACAATGTTAAAAATGTCCTTGCACTGCAGAGTGAGCATGAACAGGGCCATCAGAAAGGCCCCATGGTGAGCCTTCCCTTCAAGATCAGCCTAAAACGATGAGATGAAGGAAGCACAGAGTTTTCCAGACCACTGACCTTGGTGGAACAGGAGATCCTGTCGAGCATCCAGGCTAGGGCCTCCCACTTTGCTGCCCATCACTGGATGATGGAGGCCAACAAAGTGCTCTTGAAGGTGAGGACAGTCATCTTGTGGCTGAAGAAGCTGGTGAGTGGAGTCATCTGGGAGACTGTAGAGGAAAGAGCTGCCTTCTGTTCGTGAGTTGGGTAATCTGGGGGGGGCAGACAAAGAGGTTTAGCACTATTCACAAATCTTTCCTCCTTGAAAGATATGATTGATGTAACACTTCAGTCAGCTGCATCAATGTAATGACACAGAGTGTTCCTAAATGGGGAGAAGAGCAGAAATTGGGATGTCGTTTGGGGTGGGAATGAGGTGATGAGGCCTTGTATTCCAGATTCAAAATCTACTGAGTGCTGCAGAAGCTGGGAGCAGTAGTGCCTCCCAGGGATCATGGGCATAAGGCCTTAGACATCTGAACAACGAAACACAAAACACCTGCAGTTGGACCCTGGCCTGAGCAGCTGTTACCAGCATCCAGTCATAGATGTCAGCTTCTCTCATCCTACTTTTCAGTCTCCCACTTAGGAGCAGGTGGAGGAAAAGGGGGAAGGAGGAAGTAGGTGTTGGGGTCATCTCTACAAATAAATTATCACTCCCTCAAACGTAAGAGGCATGAGCTGGATAAAGACAATTTAGACCAAGAAGGCCTAGTGCTGGAGCATGGATTGGTTTCCCAAATGAATTGGGACAGATGGAGTGAGCGTGCTGAGGGTGAGCTTTTGTGAGTGTGTAGTCAGGTGGGCCCCACTGGATTATTCCACCCTCCTCCTCCATAAGCCAGGACTAACCTGGAGGACTGGTAGTCTTGCTGAGCACTCCCATTTTGCAGCACTCTTGCCTGCAGCAAGGCGTTGGTCTCCTCATGTGACTGGAAGGAGAAGGGAAGGAATCTCAGCAAAGCAACACCACAAAGCAGCATTAAGAGGCAGGTGCTGATCTGGGAGACAGAGCCACGGGGCAGACTGGTGAAGCTCTTACAACAGAAGGCAGAGAAAGATGAAACTTTTACTACAAAGCACAGAGTAGAACTGAACACTGAAAAACTAATTTCATGCTTACTGCTGAATTATTGTGGGATGGTAACCAATGAATAGTCTCAGCTGGGGCATTGCCTTGGCCTGTGTTATTGTTTACACAGAATCCTCAACACTGTCAGTCCTTGTGAGCTTTGCTGAGGAGAAAGAGGAATCATTCCCTTTGGTTATTGTCTCCACTGTACTAAGAGCCACTGCCACAAGAAACCATCTCTTCACAGGGTTTTGGAGACCTTCCTGACCTTCCTGTTCCTTACATGTCTCCACAGCAAAGGGGAAATGTCTTTTAAGAAGGAGCCAGTCTTGCCACTTCTACATGTTGCAAAGGATGCCAGCCATGGCTGGAGAAGTCCCCTCACTGCAGCCACAGCCTCCAGCTCATGTCAAACCAACTGCACACTGCAGGTGTGGAGCATACCTGTGGCACTTCATCCGGACTGTAATCTCGGGGTTTGGGGCTTGCATAGCTCACTCCTGCAGAGGGGCAGATGCCATTCAGATGTGCCCCATTGGCATAGGGCTGTCCATTCACATGGGCATGTCCATTGGCACGGGGAGCAGAGATGCCCCTCAGAGGCACCATGGTGTACTGGCAGGATGATACCAGCAGCCCAGCTCCTGGGAAGCCCATGTCGATGGTTTGTTCTGCAGAAAGAAAAAAAGGAAGTCTGAGGCTGAAAGCAGAGGCAAAGCTCAGCTGCTTGAAGGGAGCTGCCAGCAGGGATAGTGTTAGGCTGTCCTTTCAGGCAGCTATTTTGGCACCCAAAGCACCTTTGGAGGCAAATGGTGGAAAAGGGCCCTACACAAAGGCAAAGGGAATGCCCTCTTCCCCTTTTCTAGTCCCAGGATTCCTCCTTGCTTCCCAGAATGTGCAGCCCTCACATTTTGGGTGTTTGACGCAACCACACCCAGGGAGAGATCTAACCCACAGGGCACAACACATCTTGTAAATCAGCCCTCAAGAAAGAACTCTTACTCTGCTTGGACCAAGCTCTCCAAAGGCAAAAGGGGATGAAGGCCACGATGAGGAGCACAATGGAGCCCAGCACAACGCCTACAATCAAATATGGCAGGTCACTGGATCGGGCCACCATGGCTCCTGTCCCCAGGCCACCGTGCCCGCCACCGAGTGGGGGGTGCTGCTGGGGGGGCGCTGTTGAGAGCGGAAGACGACCTGGCAGACCGAGAGACTTCCGAGCTGCGAAGAGGAGAGAGGAAAGAGAGCATTAGACATAGATGTGGTAGGGGAAAGAGCAGCCTGCTCCAGGGATGTCAGCACTGCCGTGGAGTGGACAGACTTCTACAGTGGCTTTAAAGAAGTGCTCCTGGATGCCAGAGGATTTCCTAGGCTGATGCATATTGCACTACAGAAAAGTCCTCTGTGCTTGGCTAACACATCTGCTACTCTCTGCTAAAGCAAAAGGAAAAAGGAAATTAGGTTCTCCAAAAACCCTCACTTGGACTTAATGCTGTTCCATGTCATGACAGTGCAGCTGCTTGGAAAACAACATGGGACCTGCTTATAATCAAATACTGGAGTTTGGAAAAGCAAAGGCAAGTTAGCCCTTCTGGTTCCGGTCACCATCTGTGTGACACTGAGGAAAACAAAAGGTAACTACTGCTCTGAGGGAAGTGGTGATGGGCTCTGCACAAGGGACCTGTCCATACTGGCACAGGTATATACACATGCTGAGG